AGCAAATCCAGATCGAGCGCCCGCGCCCCCCGCGGGCGCGGGCGCTCCCGACCAAGAGCCCCTCGGCCGGGCGCCCCGGGACGACCCGGCCGGGCTGCCGCACCACATGGGCCAGACGGAGAGCCTCTCGCGGGCAGAGGTGCTCGGTATACCGTTCAACCAATCCCTGTCCCCACCCCATCCCCTTCGATATCAGGAGGGAAAAAAGCACACAGACACAATTAATTTGCGATTCCCAGAAAATATGGGAAAATATGGGAAGTGGGGGGGAAGACAAAAACCCAGAAAATATGGGAAAATATAAGGAATCATTTTATTTGTGTGTATTTATTTGTGTGTCCCAGTTTCCCTTCACGATAGCCCCACCAGATTACCCCCACAGTTGGGGGTGCACCCCTCGAGGCCCGACGAGGACGGCCCATGTCCCCATCCAGGGGGGCAGATCGGCCAGCGGGGCCCCGGCCACGCCGCCGGGGATGGGGGTCGGATACACGATGCTCAGAGGTGCACAGCCTGGCGAACTTCTCCAAGCAGGATATCGCTCGGCTCTACAGCCGCTTCCGCTCGCTGGACGCCGACGGGAACGGGCACCTCGACCCCACCGAGATCCTGGGCGTGACCGAGCTCACCGAGAACCCCTTGGTGCGAAGGGTGATATCTGTCTTTGACAAGGACCAGGGGCAACGAGAGGGTGGGGCAGGCCCATCATCGACCCACCATCGCCCACCCATCGCCGCTCGAGGCCTGCAGGTACTCCACCCTGCCCGGGAACGTGCGATCTTGCGCTCGGAAGCCTATCGACGATGCCGTGTCGCCGATCTCTTGCAGGTCTGCGCACGTTCTCCCCCTGGGCCAATCACAGCGTTGTCGTGCACTGTCTCCTCTAGTGCGCCTCCCTCTCAACTCCGCCTAGTCGACCCCACCCGTCCCCCCTCCCCAGACCCCCGACGTCGTGATTTTCTCACAACGTCGACCCCCATAGGTCTGGACCCCCCTACCGCGGGACCGGCTCCTCATCCTGAGTCCTTTTTGGACGGCCCCGAGGCCCGGGGACGGCCCCCGGAGCCCGAAGATAGCTCGCCTCTGGAACCCGAAGATTGGCCGAACATTGGGCATATAGGGAAACACCTCCCGTCGTGATTTGTTCGCACTTAGCATCGCTCGGACGTGTGCATTTTTTCTTCGGCGAGGACCATCGAGGAGCATCCTTGATCATTTGGCGAAAAAACCACGCACGAAACCGAAAAAAACACAGGGGATGGACGTCCGAGCGATGGCCAGGGCAGCGCGAGGGGGTCTGGGTCCACCGCCGCCGTGGCGCGGAGACACCCCGCCCTCCTCGCAGCCCGTCGGCCCCGCGCGAAGTGGCACCCGGGGGCCGCAGGCGCGCGGGCGAGCGGGCCGAGCCGGTCGAAGCGCGGCCGCCTCCGCCCCGCCAGCGCCTGGGGCGGCGCCTGCGCGGCGAGGCTCCGGCGCGAGCTCGACGTCAGGCCGACGCGCGGGCCCGGCGCAGATCCGACGCGCATGCGACGCGGACCCGACGTAAGCCAGAGGAGGAGGAGGAGGAGGAGGAGGAGGAGGAGGAGGAGGAGGAGGAGGAGGAGGAGGAGGAGGAGGAGGAGGAGGATCGGACCGAGTCGGCAGGAAGGAGCGTCGAGCTGCACAGCTCCGTCTGTGGTCCCTGAGATTGGTTGGAGGGACTGTAAGGAGGGAGCTGAGAGCTCAACATCGGTTGCGCCAGTACTTATGATGATTCCGCCCTGCCCAGCGGACAACAGCCATCCAGGCCCCAAGCATGCGCCTCTGGAGGAGGAGGGGGGGGGAGGGGGAGGCGTGGTCTCGAGCTGCCGCGGGAGGCCCGGGGCCCTCCGGGGCGCGGAGCCCGGGCGTGTGAGGCCTGGAAGTCCCGCCCGTGCCTCGGGGCCGGTGCTCCATCCCGAGTCGTCTGCTGAGAAGTTCTGGGGCCCGGTAAATCGGGCCCCAAGATGGTCGGGCATGGCTGTGCAGCGGGGAGCAAAAAGCGTAGGAGCCCGCGCGGCGGAGCGACAATCCTCATCCTCGTCCTCCTCCCAGCTGGGGAGATGCCTGTGCATGGGCAGCAGGCCCGGCGACGGCGCATAAAGGCTCGGCCCAGGGAGACGGCCCCCCCATGCAGATGTGTCGGGCATGGCCAGGACCCCAGGCAAGGGGGCCCGGTTAGTGGTAGGGCCCCAGAGCCTGTGAATTGGCCAGGATCACAAAACCAGGTTTGCCGCATAGCTTGTGTTTTGACGGGTGGCGGCAGTTCCGGCTAGTGGAAGTGGGGCGGGGGGGGCGCCCCCTGTACAGATCACTAGACCAGGTTCCACTAAACCCAGTTCTGCCACCGTCCGAATGTGGTCCGAGCAGATGGGGTCGGAGGGTCGCGCCGCATCGCCGGTGCATCGACGATGCGGCTCGATTCGGAGCCCGTGTTTTCCACATCGACGTCGCCAATGCATCGCCGACGTCGCCGATGCATCGCCGATGCATCGCCGATACATCGGCGATGCATTTGCGATGCGGCGCGATCCTTCGACCCCATCTACTCGGACCCCATCTAGGAGGCCTCTAGCAAAGGGCCGCTGGAGGCCGCGAGCGACGAAGCGCTTCCATTCCTCGCAGTTCAAGATCCCTTTCCGGGTTCGTGGGTCGATCATGTTTGGCACGGGTGGAGGGTTTCTCCAAAGGGCTCAGGCGCCCCGTCCTCCTCCTTCTCCTCCTTCTCCTCCTCCTCCTCCTCCTCCTTCTCCTTCTCCTCCTACTCCCTCCTCCTCCATTTTCAGGGTGCTCAGGCTCCTCCTCCTCCTCCTCCTCCTCCTCCTCCTCCTCCTTCTCCATCTCCTCCTGTCCAGCCCTTTGTTCGGGACGGGTTTTCCACCCCGAGCCGTCCTTGCACGATCCTGGGGCCCAGTGCAGGGCCCCTGGACGCCGAGGACGACGAACCGCCTCCCTCGTTTTGCTTTTTTGGCACTGCGCGGGGCAGGTCTGGGAAGCACGTTTCCCTCCGCGCCGCCGGGGCCGCCGCCGCGACACGCTGAGCAAAAGTTTTCCCGACCGTAGGCCGTCTGCCGCCCTGGTTTCTTCCTCTTTGTCTTCAGGCGGGCATGTCCCTCTACAGGAGGAAGCTTCAAAGATACGTCAACAAATAGGGACGATGCTTCTACTATGTTTTGCTGTGTGTTGTATAGGTTTTAAGCTATTTTTCATGTTCACGAAGTCCGCCTGTAGGAGGACATGCCCGACCTGTATACATAATAGTTGTTTCCCTCCGCTCCTCTATACTTCCCCTCGCCTTCCCCCTCTCTTCCTTCCCCTCTTCGGCTCCTCGGTCTTCTGCCTGGGACCCATACCTCGGGGCGGCCGATCCTTCGGCGAGGAGAGAGCTCACGATGTTGTTCCCACATCCGTGTCCCTCGCATGTCTAGGCGTAGGACTTTTCACCCGTTCATGAAAAGGACGACAGCGGGAACGTGAGCTTCCTGGAGTTCGTGCTCGGCCTGGCGAAGTTCACCGCCAGCGCGTCCGAGCAGGAGAAGCTCGAGTTCGCCTTTGCCATCTACGACGTGAACAAGGACGGGTTCATATCCAACGGCGACCTGTTCCAGGTGAGGCGTTTCAGGAATCCGAAGAAGAAAAAACGCCATAAACATAAATGTTCGACGCTCCGCGCGGATTTCTTGTATCCGCGTTGGGCCCCCCTGGCGCACCTGGCGCGCTCCGCGCGCCAGGAAGGGGGGTCCAGCGCAGATCCAACAAATCCGCGCGGAGCGCCAACAGTTTGTGTTTATGGCGTTCATTATCATTCCGGAAAGGCCTTGGGTCGAGAAGCTGATATTGGGAACCCCCAAACCGGGTGGTGAGATACCAGGTGGCGACCTGGAATCCCCAAAAAGGTCACCGCTGGGTTTGGGGACGCGGGGTCACCACCGGGTTTTGTGACTCCTGGACCCATCGCCCGAGACTCACCGCCAGGTGTTGTCACCACCACGTTTGGGGACTACCAATGATACGGGCGCCGGCCGACCTTCCGGGCGATTGACATGACAGAGGGGATGCCGTGTCGGCGTTCCGGTGGAGCGCGCCGGGTTCGGCCAGGTCCGGCGCCCCGCAGGGGCCCCCGGGGCCTGGTGTTCCCTGCTCTCGCCTCGCGAGCAGCGCCGACGTCGAGAATCGATGCCCGCGCACAGAGGAGGAGGAGGAGGAGGAAAAGAAAGGAAAGGAAAGGAAAGGAAAGGAAAGGAAAGGAAAGGAAAGGAAAGGAAGGAGGGGGAGGAGGAGGGGGAGGAAGAGGGGGAGGAGGAGGAGGCGGAGGAGGAGGCGGAGGAGGAGGAGGCGGAGGCGGCGGGGGCCGCGGCGGCGGCCGCCAAGAGGCTTACGCCATTCCGCCGATCCCAGGAAGAGAGAGAGCTCGCGACGATCGCGGGTCATCTTGATCTTTCGGCCCTGAATATTTGGGCGCATTTTGTGGCCCTCTTGGGGCTGGCGGATGTCTCGTGGGACCCCTGGAGCCGGGCGGGGTGTTGAAATGTTTTTCTCGGCGGAAGGTGGCGGAAGGCCTGCGGGAGCCTGCGGAAGTGGCGGTGCGCCTCCAAGAGATGTCAGACGTTTCCTGGAAAGTGGTCTTGGGCCCAGGGTTTTCTGTCAATGAAAATAACTTGTCCCCCGGCGCTATGTTCTGGGCGAGCCATGCGTTCAGGCAGCTCGAGCTAAATTTCCAAATCAGCTCGGTCAATATACGGAAGCAAGGGACTCCTGGATTCACGGCGCATTGGATGATGGGCCAATTTCCGACCACTACTACCATATGTAGTAGGACGGGAGAGAAGGGAGGATGGGGAGGTCCTCCTCCTCCTGTTCCTCCCTCTCCTACCTATGGTATTGGTGCTGAAAAATCGGCCAATCAATAGAGAACAGCACAACTCAATTCGGTATGAAACAGCGCAGTTGAACACGGCACAAAACGGTACAGCGTGGCGCAGCTCAGCACAGTCCTTGTCACCATATCATCACCTAGGAGATCCTCAGTACTGCGACTGCCCATTGCCCAAGTTAGGGCGGTTACGCATTCCTTTCCACGTTCAGGGATCGACCGAGTTGATTTCAGGGTTTCTGGATCCTGCCAGGTGATGAAGATGATGGTTGGCGACAACTTGGGCGACGTGCAGTTGCAGCAGCTTGTCGACAGGCAGCTGGTGATGGCCGACAGGGACGGCGACGGGAAGCTCTCCTTCGAAGAATTCAAGGAGGCGGTGCAGAACATCGGCATCGCCGAGCAGCTGTCCGTCGACATCAGGTCGTACTGAACCCCTCCTCGTGGAACGGCGGGGCCCGGAAGTGTTCTCAGACATCGAGCCCGCGGGCTGGCCGGGAGCAGTGCTTGGCAGGCCCCGGCCGCTTTTTTGCCCCGCGCGGCACACCTCGGGGCAGCTGACGCCACAGGGATGACTGCGTGCGGCGCGCAGAAGGTCACCACCCACCAAACCACCCCAACCCAACCCGAAGGCTCAGATTTACCCTCGATTTCCAGTGGGGGGGGGGTCGGGGAACCTCGAGAAAACACATGTGGAACCCTTACCCCCCCCACCCCGAAATTTGGGTCTTCGGGTTGGGTTGGGGTGGTCTGGTAGGCAGTCAGAAGGGGGGCAGGGGGAGGGGGGAAGGTCTCGCAGAAGGAGGCTGCTTCTCAGAAGGCGCCGGCCTTCCATGCATAGATGTGAGGCCGGCGCCTTCTCATAAGCGGCCTCCCTTCTAAGACGCCTGCCCCCCTCCTGCCCTTCTTTCTGCGCGTGGCCGAGATTGGCGGCGCGCGCCACGGGTTAAGTCGGGCGTGTCCCTTTACAAGAGGAGTATTCAAGAATAGCCAAGAGAAATAGTCAGGGGACGATTTTCTGGCTTTTTGGGATCTGCTTGATTATGTTTTGACAATTTGGGATCGTTCTTCCAAAATCCGCGTGCAGGAGGACATGCCCGACCTGAGCCAAGTGAGGGGTCCGCTTCCCCTCCTGAGAGACGGTGTGCGGAGCGTTTTGCGCAGAATCTGTGACCAAACACATGATTTTCGGGGGAGCGTAAGACCTGGGTTTGCCAGGACTCGGGTTCGCCATCATTTTTTGACGACCGCGCCTCGGATTTTGACGAGGAGGAGTTTCGTGGGATGTCTGCAGCGGGAGGCCTCGTCAAAATGCAGGCTCGGCCTCGTCATTTTTTTGACGACCTCGTCGGGGATTTCCGAGTCCCCTTACCCAGGTCTTACGTCCCCCTGAGATTTGGAGGCTTTGAAAGTTGTTAGAACAGGAGAACAAGTAATTTTGTTGCGCGCCCGCTCGAGGATGGCGCGCCCTGCGCGCCGAAGATTCGAGGATGTCTCGAGCGAGAAGTCTGTTTTTGCAGAACTTGGAGCGGTCTGGGCGGCCCAGGATGCCAAGGTAGTTCTGGGAGCCCGAACATCAAGGGCAGAAAAAACGCCCCTACCCTGGTTTACGACGCGCTGTGCTCTGAAACTCTTGTGGGCTGACAAGGTAAACCCTGCGTGATGTGCCGCGTCCTGGCGGCTCTAGGCTTTGGGGGTTCTCAGGAGGTTTACAGACCACGCACTTGTAATCCAGGGTAGGGTCGTTTTTTTCATCCCTCAAGAACAGAAGAGATGATTTACTGCGGAACGTGGCCCTGGGAGCGCGGACACAGCCTCATTTGCTACGGCTCCTGGCCCTGGGAGCGCGGACGCAGCGTAGTCTACAGGGGATCCTGGCCCTGGGAGCGCGGACGCAGAGTAATTTACGAGCGAACGTGGCCCTGGGAGCGCAGACACAGCGTAATTCATCGGAGAACGCGGCCCTTGGAGCGCGGACGCATTGTACTTTACGAGGGATCGTGCCCAGGTAAGGCGGACGCAGCGTAATGTACGAGGGATCCTGGCCCTGGGAGCGCGGACGCAGTGTAATTTACGATGGATCGTGGCCCTGGGAGCGCGGACGCAGTGTAATTTACAAGGGATCCTGGCCCTGGGTCAGTGACGTTCCGTGGCACGTTCCCTGACGCGTTCCGTGGCACGTCCCCTGGCACGTTCCCTGGCACGTTCCGTGGCGAGTCTCCCTGGCACGTCGTGCGGCGCGTCCCCTGGCACGTCCCGTGGCGCGTCCATTGGCACGTTCCGCAGCGCGTCCCCCTGGCACGTCCCGCGGTGCGTCCCCGTGGCGCGTCCCCTGGCACGTCCCCTGGCGTGTCCCGTCGATCATGTCTGGCTGGCTTTTTTTCCCCCCAGACAGGGCTTCTGCCCAGATTTTCGTTCGGGATGGTAATATGTCCCCTGTGCCTTGTTGGGGGTGGGCCGCCGGACTTCCGCTCGACAGAAACGAAGTAAAGCTTCATTCGGCGTGGAAGAAGTGCGTTTCGCGCGTGCCCGCTCGAGGAACATGCGCCCCCCACGTCGGATCCCAAATGAAAACGAGGTCGAGGTCCGTTGACCCTCGCTTTCCCTTGTTGAAAAAGGGTGCGGAGCGTTTTGCGCAGAATCCTTGATCAACGCTTGGTCTGGAGACTCTAGAATTCCATTGGAATCCTGATCAATACTTCAACTATTGGTCACCCCAGAACTATTGAGGTACTCAGAGTACGACAGTATACTTTTTGCGTTCCCGCTCGAGCGAGGATGGCGCGTCCTGCGCGCAGAATGTTTGAGGATGTCTCGAGCGAGGCGCTCGTTTTGGAGGAGTGGGGAGGCCGTCCCTTTCGCTACAGTTTTTTTTACTTCAGGGCAGTGCGCGTGAAAACACGTGGGTCCCTTTCGCCCCAGAGCGCGACAAGCGTGAAATCGTATGGGTCCCATTCGCCTCAGGTCAGAGCAAGAGTGAAAACACAAGGGTCCCTTTCGTCTCTGGACGGAGCAAGCGTGAACACGTTCCCTTTACTCAGAACGACCAGGCGCGAAAACGCGTAGGCTCGTGTCGTCCCAGAGCGGAGCAACGTGTTTTCCTAATCAGTGTTTGCATTGAAGGGGTCCTAGCGGAAATTGAAAGATTAGTGTCCCGCCGATTTTGGTGGCCGGCTGGGTTCCTGGGTTCCCAGTTCTGGGTTACCGGGTTCTTGGTCATTGGTTCTGGTCTGGTTTCGGTGGGTTCCGGGTTCCCGGGTTCCCGGTCGATCTCCTTATGGATCTCTTTATCGATCCCATTTCAAACCATCCATTGATTGGGGTTTTTCTCTGGTGTAATTTCACATTTACCTACTGCTTTCTGGGACGCAAATGACCCCACGTGTTTCACGCTTGCTGCGCTCTGGGGCAAAAGGGACCCACGTTTTGTCACGCCTGCTGCGCTCTGGGGCGAACGAGGTCCGACGGTGGATTTGGCACGTCCTGCGCGCAGCATCCTCGAGAATGCCTCGAGCGAGGATGAGCAGGAGGAGGAGGAGGAGGAGGAGGAGGAGGAGGAGACGGATGAGGAGGAGAAGTAGGAGGAGCAGGAGAGTGAGGAGGAGGAGGAGGAGGAGGAGGAGGAGGAGGAGCAGGAGGAGCAGGAGAGTGAGGAGGAGGAGGAGGAGGAGGAGGAGGAGGAGGAGGAGGAGGAGGAGGAGGAGCGGGAGGAAGAGGAGGAGGAGGAGGAGGAGGAGGAGGAGGAGGAGGAGGAGGAGGAGGTGTCGCAGCACTTCAGGGGCCTGGGCGCCTCCGGATGCGTAGTTGGTTCTTGGCGAGTGCGGAAGCACCGTGGTTTACGACGTGAGCGCGGACGACACGTTTTTTACGAGGGATCCTGGCCCTGGGAGCGCGGACGCAGTGTAGTTTGCGATGGATCCTGGCCCGAGGGGGGCGGACAGCGCGTCCTTTGCCATAGATGCTGGCCCTGGGCGCGCGGACACAAGAGGAGCGCGGGCGCAGCGCAGGGTAACCTGCAGAGGTTCGCGGCACTGTCAGCGCCGACGCAGTGCAAGTCACAAGGGAGCGTGGCTCCCGCGTAGTTTGCTCGGGAGCGCGGGCCTGGGAGCGCGGGCGCAGCGCAACTTATCGATCGATCTTGGCCCCGGGAACGCGGACGCAGCGGCGTTTACGAGGGATCGTGGCCCTCGGGCACGTTCTCTGGCATGTTCTGTGGCGCGTCCCCTGGGCACGTCGCGCGGCGCGTCTCCTGGCACGTCCGCTGGCACGTTCCGTGGCGCGTCCCCATGGCGCTTTCCGCGGCGCGTCCCGTGGCGTGCCCCCCTGGCACATCACGCGGTGCGTTCCCTGGCACGTCCTGCGGCACGTTAATTCGCATGTTCCGTAGCGCGTCCCCTGGCACGTCGCGCCACTGTGCCGCGCGGCACAACGCAGAGCAGCATAAAAAACCTTAGACATAGTACCATCACCATTGATATCTCCATCATTGCCACTGCCCATCGCCCAATTGAGGCGCTTGGAAACGTCCTTGCCCCGCAGTTCTAAATCCTTTTCCGGGTTCGTGGGGCGACCATGGTGGGTTCGTGGGTTGATCATGTCTCCTTGCAAGGCTTAGGTCGAGGACTTGTTCCCCGGAAAGGGCATACGCCTAGGGCTCGCTTTGATAATTGTAAGGGCGCCTTGGTTGAAGGAGATCTATTGCCTGACAAGTGAGGGAGTCGAATAGAGCCAGCGGGTTTGTTTCTGAGGGTGTCTCATACGAAATGCAGTTTTACCCCAACCATCCTAGTTTTGTGTCCCCGTGTTGAAGAGACAGCGCTCCGCGTTAATCTCCTCTCCTCCTCCTCCTCCTCCTCCTCCTCCTCCTCCTCATCCTCATCCTCCTCCTCCTCCTCCTCCTCCTCCTCCTCCTCCTCCTCCTCCTCCCCTCCTCCCACTCCTCCCATCCCTTGCACCCCTCACACGCTTCGTGGCCCCATAGGGAGCTCCACCGAAGGCCCCAGTAGCAGGTTCGCATGCGGCTCCGCCCCCATTTCGACACACACACACACATCACACACATTTCGGCATACCCCTCAAACGTTTCGTGGCCCCAGAGGGAGCTCCACCGAAGGCCCCAGTGGCAGGGCTCGCATACGGCTCCATCCCCCGTGTCGGCACCCCCCTCACACGTTTCGTGGCCCCAGAGAGAGCTTCGCCGAAGGCCTCAGTGGCACGGATCGCATGCGGTTCCACCCCCATGTCGGCTCACCACTCACACGCTTCGTGGCCCCACGGGGAGCTCCACCGAAGGCCCCAGTGGCAGGGTTCGCATGCGGATCCACCCCCATGTTGGCATATCCCTCACACGCTTCATTGCCCCATAGGGAGCTCCAGCGGGGGCCCCAGTGGTGGGATTCGCATGCGGATCCACCCATCAAATGTCTCCTGGCACGGCCCTTGGCACGTTCCCTTGAGCGTCCCTTGGCACGTTCCCTCACGCATGACTTGGCGCGTCCCCTTGCACGTCCCAGAGCGCATCCATTCGTCCCATCTCGCTTTGTCCCGTTTTGGAATTGAATCGGGTCTTGAGCTCACAGCTTGAAGCAGCAGCACAGTCCACCGCATCATGAAACAGTACAGTTCAGCACAGCACGGTAAGGCGCGGCGCAGCGCAGCGCAGCACACACACACACGCACACATACACGCACACCTACACACCCGCACACGCGCACGCGCACACAACACACGCACACACGCACACCTGACGCGCACACACACACACACACGCACGCACGCACGCACGCACGCACGGACGCACACACACACACACGCACACATTCTCTTTCTCTCTCTCTCTCTCTCGCGCTCTCTCTATCGCACACCCGCGCGCGCCCCCCCCCTCTCTCCCACCCACCCACACACAGACACACGCACGCACGCACGCACGCACGCAGGCACGCACGCACGCACACACACACAAGCACACAAACATACACACACACACATACGCACGCACGCACGCACACATACGCACGCACGCACGCACGCACGCACGCACGCACGCACGCACGCACGCACGCGCACACACATTCTCGCACGCACGCAGACGCGCACACACACACGCACACGCACACACACACACACACACACGCACACATACACGCACACCTACACACCGCACACGCGCGCAGCGCACAAACACACGCACACACACGACACACACACACACACGCACGCACGCACGCACGCACACACACACACACGCACACATTATCTTTCTCTCTCTCTCTCTCTCGCTCTCTCTATCGCACACCCGCGCCCCCCCCCCTCTCTCCCACCCACCCACACACAGACACACGCACGCACGCACGCACTCACGCACGCACGCACGCACGCACACACACACACACAAACACACAAACACACGCACACACACATACGCACGCACGCACGCACACATACGCACGCACGCACGCACGCACGCACGCACGCACGCACGCACACACCATACCACACACATACACGCACACCTACGCGCACACGCGCACGCGCACAAACACACGCACACACGCTGACACACACACACACACACGCACGCACGCACGCACGCACGCACGCATGCACACACACACGCACACATTCTCTTTCTCTCTCTCTCTCTCTCGCCCTCTCTATCGCACACCCGCGCGCGCCCCCTCTCTCCCACCCACCCACACACAGACACACGCACGCACGCACACGCACGCACGCACACGCACGCACGCACGCACGCACACACACACACAAGCACACAAACACACACACACACACACACATACGCACGCACACAGGCACGCACGCACGCACGCACACATACGCACGCACGCACGCACGCACGCACGCACGCACGCACGCACGCGCACACACACTCTCGCACGCACGCAGACGCGCACACACACGCACACGCACACACGGCAAAGCATGGGACTACTACCACCATCGATACCTTCAGCACCGCCACGGTCTACCGCCCGAGCCCATGCCGCCGTCTCGAAGCGCTTCCGCGCCTCACAGCTCGCTCGTGTGTGCTGCCCTGCAGGCCTCCTTCGCCTCGACCCCCCCGAGGCGGCCCACGCCTCGCTCTCGGCCGTGACCCCCGCCTGCCCTGGCGGGCGCTCGGAGGCCCGCCGGCCCCGGTGCGCGCGCGCGCACGATCGCGCGGGGCTCCGCGGGCTGCCGCTGAGCTCGGGGGCGGAAAAGAGGGGGGGTGATGACTAGGGGGGGGTGGATATCATGGCGTGGGCCATGATATTTCTCCAGATTTCACGGCGCCTCTTCTTATTGCATTACGTCCCTGGCCCCCCCGCTGGGCCGCGCACATGCCGCCGGTCATGATTTGCACCCCCCCCTTTTGGACACCCCCCTCTCGGCCGCTCCCGATGAGCCTGCGCTGTTCCCTTTTCCATCGGCGGTCGACGTTCGATCCATACCCGTGCTGCGCCTCCCCACTCTTGGGGGAACAAAAGGTGACATGAACATAAAAACTCGGAGGTCCGCGCGGATTTCTCGGATCGGCGCTGGGGCCCCCCGGCGGCGCCTCCGGCGCCGCTCCTGGAACGCTCCGCGCGACAGGGAGGGGGGTCCGGCGCCGATCCGAGAAATCCGCGCGGACCTCCGAGTTGTTATGTTTATGCCACTTCTTGTTCCCCGAACTCTGGGCGCCAGGGTGGGAGAAGCTGGTGGATGAAGGGCTCGGCGTCTGGGGTAAGATCCCGAGCCGGGCTCCCACCTCCTCCTCCTCCTCCTCCTCCTCCGGACGGACCAAGGAAGGCTGTGCGCATCCCCGGCCGACGCGTGGGCACATGGAGCGAAAAACGAGGCTCCACGGAGCGCACACGTGCGCAGGCACATGACGAAGGAGAAGAAGGGAGGAGGGGGGCAGAGGAGCATATGACAGAAGCTCGGTCTTGAATAAATCGTTGATCGGCCGGCGGGCGAGCATATCTTGGGCGGGGCTAGGACCAGGACAGATCCGTTCCAAGGCGTTCCGGAACGCTCTCGGAGCGTTCCAGAAAGTTCTGAGAAGACCGCGGCGCCCGAGACATCCTCCCGAGCCGCCGTATCTCAGAGACTCTCGATTCTTATCCTGACCCAGATTTGTCCTCGTCCTGCCTTCGCCGTACGGAGGGGGGCGTGAGCAGGGTCTTGGATAGAACGTCGATTACCCCTTCCGTGCCTCTTGCGGGGCGCGCAGTGGCGCGAACATCCTGCGGGGGCGCGGGGCGGGGCGGTGTTTCCGCGCGGCCGTGCGCACCGGCAGGGCGCCGCCCGTGCACGAGGAGAAGCATAAAGCATCATCGTATCCGTCGATCGTAGCGGGCGAAGAACGTCACCACCCACCAAACCACCCCAACCCAACCCGAAGGCTCAGATTTACCCTCGATTTATAGTGGGGGGGGGGTCGGGAAACATTGAAAAAACACATGTGGAACCCTTACCCCCCCAACCCGAAATTCGGGTCTTCGGGTTGGGTTGGGGTGGTCTGGTAGGTAGTCAGAACGGGATAAGATAAATTCTTTCGCCGACGGGGACACCTGCCCAGAGCGGCTGGAAAGTTTATGCCCCTACGGTGGCACGCCAGGGCATGAACTTCACAGCCGCCCTGGGACAGGCGTCCCCGGCGACGGAAAAGTTTATGTTGCATACGCCGCTGGTCACCCGCTGACGATCTCCTGGCGCGAGGGAAGGCTCGATCGCCATGTGGTCGCTTTTTGGGGGGTCGGAGAGTGCTATGGGTACGTGTTGTCGGATGGGGGTCTCCGCTCGAACGGGAGCGTTCCCCAGGGTCCGACAACCCGCACCCATACCCATAGCGAGTCCTCCTCCCAACGGCCGCCCCTATGGGTATGGGTGTGTGTTGTTCGTTCGTCACTATTCGTTGTTTTGCAGATCGGCGCGGGCCTCGCACCCCCCCCCCCCCCCCCCGTGGAGTAGATCTTGGCTGCTTTTGGGGACTGTTTCGAGCAGGCGGGGCCTCCCCCGTAATGGACGCTCTGCTGCAAACAGTCGCACTAAGCGGAGATCCGGAGCCAAAATCCCTTCCCCTCACCCCCCCCTTCCTTCCAGTGTCGACCCCTCCCCCCCCCTCCTCCCAATGTCGAAACGCCGAATAAAAAAAACGCTCATTTCACCAGAGAGAGGGCCCAATCAGTGGATGGATGGTTTTCGCTGAGGAGATCGACCGGGAACCAAGGAGCCCGAGAGCCTGCAGAACCCACCGAAATCGGCCCAGAGCCAAGAACCGCGAACCGAAGAACCCTGGAACCCGGAACCGGGAACCCGAGAACCCAGCCTGCTACCAAAATCGGCGGAAAATTCTCGCCAAATGTTCCAACTTCCGCTAGGACCCCTTCAGTGCAAGCACTGGAACCATGGGGGAGACGGGTCCTGAGGGAAGCGGGTCCTGAGGTTGCTCCCCGTCTTCGGGCTCCCAGGGCCCCCCACGGGCACCGGGGCCGTCAGAGAACGACTCGGGACGAAGAGCTCGTCCTGGGGGAGGGCCCCCCGGGACCCGCTTCCATCTGGGCCCGATGCCCCGAAGGCTCAAGGAACATCGTCGTCACCGTCGACCTCCTACCGCGAGGGGAGACCGAGCAAGCTCGCCCTCGCTGGTGCGCGCGTGAGCGAGCCTGCCTGCGAGGCTGCGTGCCAATGCTTCTTTCGCCCCGCGGTGCCCGGGTATATAGCGTTGGCAGTCCTCGGCGGGCCACCGGGCGGGCACTGAGCGAGCCTCTTGCGAGGCCTCGCAGCGCTACTGCACCATCTCCCGGGCAGTCGATGTCGCGGCTTCCCCAGCACTCCGGCGGTGCTGGTTCCTCGCTTCGTCTCCTTGGCGCCACGAGGACACTTCTCTCCTCTCCTTCCTCCCCTCCCCGTCCTCCTCGCGGGTGTTTCTTCCCGAGTCGCCTTCTCACGGCCCCGGGGCCCGTTTCCCTGTGGCTCAAGGAGGCAGAGGCCTGCTGCCTCGCTGCGCCGCGCTCCAGGGGGCCCCCGCGGAGCCCGTCGCGGCGGGCGTCCCTTCCGCCCCACCCCCCGTGGCACCAGCCTGGCCCCTCGGCCCCAGCAGAGGCCGCGCCTTCCGCAGATGGCGCCCGGCCCGCCAGGCCGCCTGGTGCTGCGGGTGCTGCTGTCGGGCGCTGCGCTGGAGGGCCTGCCGAGGAGGTGGCTCGCGGCGGCCACTGTGGGGACGACGTCCTGCGAGGGGCCGGTGCAGCCGCTGCTCTGGAGGGCGACCAAGAGCGAGCCGACGCCGTGGACCGCCTACATCCTGGGCTCCTACCCGCTGCCCGCGGAGGCCGCGCATTCGCTCGTGGCGCCCGTGCCCCAGGCTCTGTCCTGCGCGGACGTCGCCTTCTTCAGACTCGCGTGCAGCTTGGGGAGCAGCAGCGTCGGGCACTTCATGGACCACTGCGGGTGGTACTCGTACTCGGAGGCCGAGGGCTCCATCAGCGGGCGGGTCGGTGCCGGCCAGGCTGCTTCGCTGCAGACGGCTGCCAGGCAGCTGTTGTCCGAGGCCCCGCAGGAGTGCAGCGGCAGCGGCCTGCAGGCCGCGGCCCAGAAGTCCGCGAGCGAGCTGACGAACGTGGCCGTCCGAACCACGCTGAAGGCGTTCTACCGGCAGGCTCTGAGGGCGGTGAACCCCAGCCAGTGCGCCATGGCGAGCGGCGGCCAGAGCTACGAGAGCTACCTCCGCGCGGAGTTCGGCGACCAGCGGCCGACCCTGGGCCTCGTCGACGTGGAGGAGGAGTGCCTGCTGACGCAGCCGGCCCGCCCCGCGGGCGACGGGCTGCGGCAGGACAAGGAGCTGGCCGCGCAGATGGTGGCCAACTTCTCGAACGCGTCCTGGTACGCGCACAGGAAGGCCGTGCAGCGGGCGCTCATCCAGGCCTACCAGTGCGGCAACGTCGCCACCATCAAGACGCTCATGGAGCAGACGGGCTACCTGGAGGACCTCGAGGAGATGCCCTGGAACAAGCGCGCCAAGCTGAACCCGTCGATCGCGGATGCCGTGAACAGGGCCAGGTCCAGGTACCCCGGCAAGACTGTGGTCCTCGTCGTGGACGTGCTGCACATGGTGGACTCGGGGTCCGAGGGCGGCGCGGGCGTCCCCAGCATCCTCCAGGAGGACGGCTACACCGTGGAGCGCATAAAGGCCGACCAGGACCTCGGGTGCAGCGCCTCCACGTTCAAGGCCGCGGGCGCCGAGCAGCGAAAGGAGTGCCTGATGCCGCCCTGGCAGGAGCAGAACGAGTCCTGCGTCAGCTTCAACGAGGCCTTCAGTCAGAGGCTCGACGGGGACCCGCTGTATGGGCGCGTCAAGGACTCTGCGCAGTGCAAGGCGTGCCAGGAGTCCGACGAGGCGTGCACCTGCCAGGTGTCGTGGCAGAACGACACCGCCTTCACGAAGCTCTGCCGGAGCACGGTGGTGAACGACGCCAGCGGGCAGGTCCTCGTCGTGGACTTGATCCGCAATCCGGGCTCCACTCAGGAGGGGCCTCGGGAGGCCGAGAAGAACGTCAAGGCGCTGTTCCAGCATTGCGTCTCGACCAGCTGCAAGGTCGACCTGATGCAGCTGATGGAGCAGAGGAAGTGGTACACGAACGACAGCCACCTGCACCAGGGGCTCGTCGAGTACAGATGCAGCGGCGGTCCGGGCAGTTGTCCGTTCGAGGGCGGCGGACCCAACGGCGACGCCGAGGAGCCATGGTACTCAGACGACGCCGACGACGGCGGCGGCGGGCCGGCGGGCCAGAACGCGAGCGAGAACTCCACGGAGGCACCCGGCGCCCCTGTCCAGGGCGGCGAGGCCCCGTGGCTCTGGATAGTGCTGGCGGTCGCGGCGGTGGGCGCGTCCGCCGTGGCGGGCATGCTGCTCTGGTTTCTGCGGCGCGGGGGCCGGCGGAGGCGACAGGGCAGAAAGCCTGGAGGCTACGAGGAGGCGGGAACGGGGACGGGCTTCCTCGAGAGCGGCAGCCACGCCCCAGGGGCGGAACGCCAGCTCCCTGGCTACGCGCACCTGCAGGACGTCACCGAGCTCAACAGGGCCGCGGCGGCCCACCGGAGCGCCGCCAGGAAGCTGGAGGGCTACGACACGAGCATCCTGGACACGGGGCTGCAGATGCAGCAGGCGCTGGGCGCCGAGGGCGCCAGGGCCCTCCAGACGCTGCACGCGGGCCACGGCCACGGCCACGGTCACGACTCGGCCGCGGCGCCCCACGGTCAGACGCAGATCCACCAGCACTGCCCCTCTGGCGCGCCGTCGGTGCACAGTGCCGGGCACCCGCCGCACTACCCCGGCGGCCACGGGCTCGGCGGCGCGCCCTCGGCGCACGGTGCTGCGGGCCTCGGCGGCTGCGCGGTGCCGCAGGGCCACCCGACCCAGCAGTGGCTGCCGCCGCAGGCGCCCTGCCACGGGAGCCCCTCTGGGCACGGCAGTGGCCTCGCGAGCCCGCCCCCCGGCTTCGCCTACTGAGGCGTGCCGCTCGCTGCTGGTTCGGTTTCTCCTGCTATATAGACCAGCACCGTCGAGGTCGGAACCAAAACATTCGAAAAAGAAAAGCGTCGGGGGCCTGGGCTCGCAGGCCCCGTTGTGCCCAGGCACCGCTTGCCTGCCTCGGCATTGGCGCCGCCTGCTCGCTGAGGGCCGACCCGAGCTGGCCGCTGGGCAGCAGAACACATCAAGGCAAGGCGCTGAAGCCAGGACCACTTCGGTCGGAGGTTAATAGACATCCTACCCTGACACGTCGATTAGCGAATTGGCCGTTTTCGGTTTGCGCGAGGGCGTCGCGGCCGTCATTTTTCGCGGGTCCAGGTCCATCGGTTTAGGTCCTTGGCCGTTTTCACTACAGGGTGGTTTACTAGAGGGAGGTTTGTCCACCGCCGATATGGGCCCACTGTGAAGGCAGACAAATCACAGAAGCCAGGCAGCAATGTTTTCCAGCTCGCCAAACACACACGTTGTCTTCAGTGAGCTCGCTGAGGGCAGCAGCAGTGCGCCTTCAGCCTGCAGGAGCAACACCCTCAAACAAAAGCTGCTCTCAGACAACCCAGGGTATGGTTGTTCATTCATGATTTCGCCGATCGGCGCGGACTCTCGCACCCCCCCCTCCTCCCCCCCAGGGTAGATCTTGGCTGTTTTGGGCGCCTGTTTCGAGCAGGTGGGGCCTCCACCAGAATGGACGCCCTGTTTCAATCAGTCGCATTAAGCAGAGGTCCGGAGCCGGACCCCTACAGTCGGGGCCCTGAAGAAGGAACCCTTTTCGTTGGGGAGGGGCTCCGCATTCCTTAAGTGTTTCGCAGCTTGCCTCAGGTTTTCCTTATGTTTTCGATAGCAAACAAAAGCTTAACGTATGGAAAAACGAGGCCTCGTTCCTTATTTAGGGTTCCTTAGGTCAACGCCCCGACTGTACCCCTTCCGCCCAATGTCGAAACGCCGAGTAAAAAAAACCCTCGCCAGTGAAGGCGCAGGTTTGTGCCTCCAGCGAGCCGGTGGCAAAACACCTCGCTCCTCTGCGCGCCCGCTCCTGCGGCGTGCGGTCGGACCTTTTTAGGGATGCGCTCGAGTCGAGGGTTTCTCCGAAAGGCTTAGGCGACCCATCCTCCTACTCCTCCTCCTCCCCCTCCTTCTCCTCCTCCTCCTCCTCCTCCTCCTCCTCCCCCTCCTCCCCCTCCCCCTCAATCTCCTCCTCCCCCTCCCCTCCTCCACCTCCTCCACCTCCCCTCCATCTCCTCCTCCTCCTCCTCCTCCTCCTCCTCCTCCTCCTCCTCCAACTCCTCCTCCTCCGCCCCCTCCTCGGGTCGCCTACGGCTCGGGGGACACCTTGCACGCTCGAGATCCGTTCGGGGAGGATACCCTCGGGTTCTTCGTGCTTGGTGGACGTTCTCGTGCATCCTGGGGATGGTACCCTCGGGTGTTCTACAGTCAGCCCGCATAGTCAGCAGGGGCCACCTTCCCAAGGGTACCTTTGCATCCTTGCCTCCTCGGTCTATCCTTGGCCACTCTCGTCGGCCGCGCCCCGCTGGAGAAGTTTCGACATGGGCGTCCAGGGCCACCGCATCCTTCTCGCGCATCCTCGCGATACAGTGCCGTTTTTGATACATGCTCCGCGTGCGGATCATGTATTTAAAATGCAGGGATTTAGTATTCAAAACAACGAGGAGTTCATGCATACATTTATTCATACATTTTTCATGGATTAAGAATCCTACAGTTTAAACTCCCATGTATTAAAAACCGCCCTGTACGGGCCGGCTTTCTGTCTTTTGGCTGGCGGGGAGCCTTACGGTTCTGGGACGGAGAGCTCTTCTGCCCTGGGTCCAGCGGCGCCTCGCCCACGGCCTTCTCTTCGTGCACGATGTATATCAGGAGGGGAAAAAACACACAGACACAATTCATCGTCGATTCCCCAGAAGATATGGGAAAATATGGGAAGTGGGGGGGGGGAGACAGAACCCCCCAAAGTATGGGAAACGATGGGGAATCTTCTCATCTGCGTGTATTTCTTTGTGTGTCCCAGGGCCCCGTTTCAGCATTGGGCCAAGGCCTCCTGCGCCCTGCCCCAGAAACTGGGCGCTCGAGCGCGCCTGCGTGCCCGACTCCGGCGGCTCCGCCCAGCGTCTGGCGCCCGCCCCCCGCTCCGCAGGCGCACGCCCCTGGAAGCTGGGCGTGCCCGACTCTGGCGGCTCCGCTCCGCTCCGCCTCCGCACCCCCTGTGGCTTTGGACGCCCGATCGGGGGTGGACAGACCTCCTACCCTGACACGTCGATTAGTGAATTGTCCGTTTTCGGTTCTCGAGAGGGCTCCGCGGCCGTCATTTTCCAGGCTTGCGCCTGTCAGGTTTGGGCCCGAGGTCGTTTTCACTAAACCACGTTTTACTAAAGGGGGTTCTGTCCATCCCCGACCCGAGCTGGGTACGGAAAGAATGGGCACAATGCCCAACAGCAGTCCCTGCTCACTTTGAGCAGGCTTCGCTGTCCACGCCGCCGCGGCCCGTGTCCACTCGAGGCAGAGGGCCGCCTGCCCAACAGCCGCCGCTGTTGGTTTTGGGACAACATTTGTTGTTGGGCATTGTGCCCATTTTTTCCGTACTCCAGATTTCGTAATAAAAGGGAGGGGGTCTCATTTCGGGGGGGGTCTCTTCCAGGCTATCTTGGAGGGCCTGGGGGGGTCTGGGGACGATGTTTGGGAGGGTTCTCCCACGGGGGAGGTCTGAAATGGCTTGTCTTGGAGGGTCCAGACCCCCTCCCTTTTATTACGAAATCTGGAGTACCCATTTCGGGCGTCCAGAGTGGCAGCGCGGAGGCTGCACACGAGCAGCGCCTCCGGCCCGGGGCCACGCCCGCGCCCGGCGCAGCGGCGCTACTCCCCTCTCGCGGCCCCCCCCCCCCCTGGCGGAGACCGGCGCCGCGGGGGTCGGACGTGGTGGGCCTGCTTTCCACCACCACCACCACAGGTAGGAGAGGGAGGGGGTCCTCCTCCTCCTCGTCCTCCTCCTCCTCCTCCTCCTCCTCCTCCTCCTCCTCCTTCCCCCCTCCAACTTGTGGTGGTGGTGGTGGTGGAAAACAGGCCTATCAGGACGGGGCCAGGACGAAGATGAATCCGTCCCAGGGCCTTTGGCACGCTCTCTGAGCGTGCCGGCACGCTCTGAGAGAAGGCCGCGGCGCCCGAGACCGCCTCCGGAGTCGCCAGATCTCAGAGCTTCTCGATTCTCTTCCCTGAGGTCCGACGCTGCAACAAAAATTGCAACATGGCAACCAAAAATCGCGACCCAAACCCTGGACCCCACCTTTCTGCGTCATTCTTCGAGCCGCACCGCTCTGTGAGGGCCCCGGGGCCCGAAATGGAGCGAGAACGCCCGCGGCGAAAAATTTGCGACGCCAGGATCTCAGGGTTACAGTCGGGGCGCTGAAGAAGGAACCCTTTTCGTTGGGGAGGGGCTCGGGTTATCCTTGATTGTTCCACACCTTGCCCAAGGTTCTCCTTAGGCTTTCGATGGGAAGTCGAAGGCTAACTTACGAGAAAAGGGGCCTCGTTCCTTCTTTAGGGCTCCTTGGGTCAACGCCCCGACTGTATCCTCGCCCGAACTCGCCCCCTCTGCCCAGGCCTCGTCCTCTGCGGCCCCGGCGCCGCGGGGCTCGCCGCCGATCGGTGGCGTCTCGCGGCGAGGGCCAGTGCAGACGGGCGTCGGCCAGGGCGTCGGCTCCTGCGGGACCCTGCTCGAGCCAGGGGGTGCACTGCCCGGGGCTGCTCCAAAGCCCTTTTTCATCGACCCCCCACCCTAAAAGAACCGGACCCCCTTCCAACTGCGACCTCATCTTCCGGACCCCCCTCTCCGACGGGGCGCCTTGATAACCGAAAACGGCCGAGAAGAACCCCCCAGGGAGAATAAAGTTCGGCGGTTACGATGTGATAATAGAAGTTGCCCGCCAGAACCAGCATAAAGATGTTAACAGAGGAGCCAAAGCCGAGGATATCTTGAGACATCCTTGGCTTTTTGTCCTCTCTGAGACATCCTCAACAATGGCTTGTCTCGCTTGAGACATCCTCGACGAATCTCTCGTTTCGCTTGAGACATAGAGAGAAAATAGAAAGATAGAAAGAGAAGAGGAGGTAGAGGAGGAAGAGGAGGAGGAGGAGGAGGAAGAGGAGAAACAGCAAGAGGAGGAGAGGAGAAGGAGATAGCAAAAATCCAAAGTTCAAAACTTATTAGATTTAATTTGTAAGCGCTTAATGAAAATTAAAAGTTTCATCTGCTCGTGTAGGGGGTAGCTCATCTGCCTCGGTTTCCTTGGATGATAAAGCACAGCGATAAACAAGTTCAGGGGCCACGGGGAGGAGGAGAAAGAAAGAGAGAGAGAGAGAGAACAAAATGAAGAAAGAAAGACAGAAAGAGATACAAAGAGACAGACGAAAGTAGACAAACATCTTGAACGAGAGGTAAGAGAGAAGAAAGAGAGGAGGGGGAGGAGGAGGAGGAGGAGAAGAGGAGAAGGAGAAGAGAACCACAGGATTCCTAAAGCATTGCTTGTTTCGCTTGATGGCGAACCTTTCCCCGTGATAATGAAGTTCGGCCTCCGCGCCCCCGCGCCCCCGACCAAACTCTTATTGGCCGTGGATAATCAACTCTTATGTGTATAGGGGGGGTACATTATTATCGTGGGTATGGGGTTAAATCGGACCCTCCGAGCTCCAATCCAAAGAAAGCGCCCTGATAAGCCGAACCCCCCCCATGAGGTTACAAAAAAGGCGTCCTACAAGACTGCACCCGGGGGACGACTCAGAAGGGATCTGGGCCAGCGCGCGGGCCGCAGGGTCCTGCAGGCTCCTGCAGAGCCTGACTGGCCCGGGGCTGCGCCGACCCGGGTCGCCCGCGTCCCCGGGGCCGATGCGCGGCGCTGGCGGCCGAGCGCCCCCGCGGGCGCCCGCGCCACGGGCGCCCGCCGCGTCCTGCCGGCCGCGGCGGCGCCGGCCGCCTCCGCGCCTCGGCCGGCGGCCGCTGCCGCGAAGGCCCGTGCGACGCAGTGCGCGGGAGCCTCGCGCGTCTCGGGGGCGGCTCGGGAGTCCGGAGCGGCTCGCGGCCCCGTCGCTCCGCCCTCGCCCCGCGCTCTCCTGCGTGCCCGCTCTGCTCCCGGCACGGAGGGCTTCTCCGCGACGGGCTTGGGCGGCCCGTCCTCCTCCTCTCTCTTCTTCTCCTCCTCCCCTCCCCCTCCCCCTCCTCCTCGTCCTCCTCCTCCTCCTCCTCCTCCTCCTCCTCCTCCTCGGGTCGCCTGCGGCCCCGGGGGGAACCGTCCACGGCAGGTCCCGTCCGTTGCCCAACCAGCAGCGGGCGCCTGCACTTGCTTCGTGTCGCTTGCGCCCGCTGGCTTCAAAGTCTCGGGGGCGGCCACGAGGGGGGTGGGCATCTGGGCTGAGGGGTTCAAGGTGATGGCTGGGAACAGAACGAGCGGACTGACCCAAGCTAAGCATTACAAAACAATTCACGTCCTGATTTTTCCACGACGCATGCCTCGGCCTGGCCATGTGGATGCCTAGGCGTTATACTGCTGATACCTAGGCATCCGCATGGGTATGCCTAGGCATGCATCGAGGGATTGTCCATGGACGTGGTTGGAGGTAGCTGCGCGTAGCAGATGCGACCTGGTGATGCCTAGGCATCGAACTGGCGATGCCTCGGCATAAAGCAGGACGGTGCGCAGGGGAAGCACCGATGGTTCGAGGTACCAGAACCATTTGGCCGTGCCAATGTTCGATTTCTCGGGGCACCTTAGGGCTTCGGGACCTTTCAGGCTAGTCGCGCGATAGCGTCTATTCGATGCGAGATCGCTGGTTTATCGTCGATTCGTGTCGATATATCGCCGACTAGCGTCGGTTAGCGTCGACTCTCGCAGGTCAGCGTCGATTCGCAAGAGCAATCGAAATGGCATGGGAGGCTCCCGTGCGTTGCTACGGAAGGCGCGCGTTGTTGCTGGCGTTCGCGGCCCGGCTGGCTGTTCTGCGGTGCGCTGGGGGCTCCTTCAGTCCGTTCGCCGCGCCGCCGGACGACGTGTGCGTGGCGCCGCTGGACCTCCGCGGGGGGCGAAGGTGCCCATGCAGTATGCGCGTCACATAAGACATCGGACTGCTAGTAGGTGCCCCACGGAAGTTTCTCACACTCCCCGACGGCCCGAATTGTGGCCCATAGGAAATCTGGGCCACCGTAGAGCCTTGAACGATGGACAAATGATGTGCCCAAACCTTCTTGTTGGCGGGATTTCTTATCGTATGCGCCTATCGTGACCGCGGGGGCGCATCATCGACCCCCCCCCCCTCCCTCTCTCGGTGAAGCTCTATCACTGCCCGCCCCTGGAAGTGAAATTCCGCCTCCCAGGCCCCTCAGTGCGGGATCCCACCAGCCCCTCGGGCCCCTCAGGCCCCGTGCAGGGATGCGCCGCCCTTCGGCTCCGTGCCGACGGCCTCCAGCCTCGCTCTCGCCCCCCTGGGCCTCCCGGGGCCGGGGGGGGGTGTCCTGGCCGCCACGGCAGGGGATCTTGGCCCTGGCAAGCGCGGGCGCAGTGCAGTGTAGGCCTGTGGAGCAGCGGCATCCGCATCTCAGTATCGTTTGTCCGGTCCCCATCCCCATCCCCATCCCCTTCGAGACCCCCACCAAGTTGCCACCCCAGTTGGGGACACACCCCTCGAAATCCGAGGGAACGGCCTATATCCCCATCCCTGGAGGGGTAAATCGGCCAGTGGGGCCCAGGCCGCGCCGCTGGGGATGGGGATCGGCTAAACTCAGGAGGGGAAAAAAACACACACACATACACACACAAACACACACACAGAGACACAGACACAGACACAGACACAGACACACAGACACACAGACACAGAGACACAGAGACACAGAGACACAGAGACACAGAGACACAGAGACACAGAGACACAGAGACACAGGGACACAGAGACACAGAGACACAGAGACACACAGACACGCAGACACGCAGACACACAGACACACAGACACACAGAAACACAGACACACAGACACACAGACACACAGACACACAGACACACAGACACACAGACACACAGACACGCAGACACACAGACACACAGACACACAGACACACAGACACACAGACACACAGACACAGACACGGACACACACACACACACACACCGACACACACATGCACACAGACACAATGCATCGCCGACTCCCAGGAAAATATGGGAAAATATGGGAAGTGTGGGGGAGACAAAAACCCCGAACATATAGGACAAATATGGGGGATCCTGTTATTCGTGTCTATTTATTTGTGTGTCCCAGAGGGCCCCTTCATTAACGATACTCCGCATCTCCCGCCTGCCTCCATAGGAGCCGCCGCCGGCCCGCTCCGAGCGAGAGTCGGACCACCGCCACGCGGTCGACGCCGCGATCCGTTGGGCGTGGGCGCGGCACAGCGGCTTCACCATTGGCGACGAGGAGTCCCCAGGCATCGGATGTCTCGAAAAAATCGAGACGGAGGTTTTGCATCGTTTTCGGCCCCTCGGGGCCCTTGCCGGGCTGCGGGACCGTCAAAAAAAGATTCGGGACGACGAGCCGGCCCCAGGGAAGTGGTCGGGAGGTCGGGGGCCCGCGTCTCGAAAAGATTGAGACGTCGGATGTCTGGGTCACGAGGGGACAACAAAGGCACACAGGCACAAGGAGTCGCCGACTCCCCGGAGAGTGTGGGAGCACATGGGAAGTGGGGGGGGGAAGACGAGACACCCCGGAAAATGTGGGAGCAGACATGGGGAGTCCTGTAGGATTTGCGTGTGGTTATTTATGTGTCCCTGGGCCCCTTCGAAGGAGGCGAGGGCGATCGCGCGCGCGGGCACCGCGGGGTCGGCGGCCGAGGCGGCCGAGACCAGCAGGCCGTCCACGTACGGGGAGGTCACGCCGCTCGGCGTGCGCCAGATCGGGCGCGCCCTCGGGCTGGACAAGCTGGCCGGGGAGCCGGCTGTGTTCATGGACCTGGGCAGCGGCGTGGGGAAGCTCGTGGCGCAGGATGGACGTCGGGGCCCCGAATCGCCAGGGGTAGCTCAGTAGGGAAAAAGACACACACAGAGACACAATGAATCGTCGATTCCCCAGAAAATATGGGAAACCATGGGAAGTGGGGGGGAAGACAAAAACCCAGAAGAACGTGTGGGGAACCCTGTCAGTTGTGTGTATTTGTTTGTGTGTCTCAGGGCCCCGTCGGTAACTCAGGTCAGGGCTAACTCGGGCTCGTTCTTCAGGAATCCGAGCCCGAGTTGCCCCGGGCCCGAGGTACCCCAGATGATTCGGGCGTCCAGCGCCCCAAGTCATCAGCGGCGTGGGAAAGCTCGTGACTCAGGTTATGATGTTCCAGCCTACTTTAGCCTTGATCACCAGAAAGAGTCCCGAGCACCAAGAAGTACCAAAAATTGAGGGTTTTCACGCGTCGGGCCCTGGGAGGCGCTACTCGTTCGACACTGTTTCGAAACTTTTCTGGGTGCTCGAATTTGTTCTGGGATGGTGTCATTTAGTACGATTGGAGCAACATAAGGCTGAGGTCGGATGGGGCCAGGACGAGGATGGCTCCCATCAAGAGCGCTCCGAAACGCTCGCAGAGCGTTCCGGAACGCTCAGAGGAGGCCGCGGCGCCCGATCGATCCTCCAGAGCCGCCAGATTTTAGAGGTTCTCGATTGCGAAGGCCTTACGGCCAGTGCCGCCGACCCTGAAGGGAGACGACGATGACGACGACGACGACGACGACAGCGGCGGCGGCGGAGGCAACGACGACGACGCTGACGTGGGCCAGAGTCCTCAGGGATGGATCTTGGGGTTTCTTCGGAAGTCTCTCGGGGGCCTCCGGGGAAGAATTTCTGGGGCCTCTCGGGAGCCGCCAGGGTTCTCAGAGGTTCTCAGTCGATCCTCACCCGATCTTGCCCTCGCCCTCCTCCTCCTCCTCCTCCTCCTCCTCCTCCTCCTCCTCCTCCTCCTCCTCTGGCCTCGTCTCGGCAGGCGTACCTGGAGTGGCCGGCCGTGGTGCGCGCCGTGGGCGTGGAGCTCTCGCACACGCGCGCGGCGACCGCGAGAGGGCGGCCATGCCCCTCCAGAGGAGGAGGGTCAAGGGCTCCCACGAGGGCGCGAAGTTATTCGCGCTTCGCGCTTCGCGGTCCTCGTTCCTTCTCCCCCTCCTCCTCGTCCTCCTTTTCTCCCTTTGGGGGGGCGGCGCGAGGGCGCGAAGTTATTCGCGCTTCGCGCTTCGCGGAGCGCGAAGCGCGAAGTTGGGAGCCCTAGAGAGTATTCGAGACTGGTGACAGCATGAGTTTGGTGACGATTTCTCGTGCTCTTTTGATGAGTTGTTTGATTTCTGCTGTTGTCGACCATGTCGAGTTTTCCTTCCAGAGGCCGCCTGCAGGTGGACGTGCCCAACCTAGGGCGAGCGCGAGGGCGGCCATGTTCCTCCACAGGAGGAAGGCTCGAGAATTGTACAAGTGTTTTTTTGATTGTTGGTTGAATGTGTTTGAACTGTGTTGAATTGTTCTGCCAGAACCCGCCTGTAGGAGGAAATGCCCGACCTAAGGCGAGCGCGAGGGCGGCCATGTCCCTCCACAGGAGGAGTATTCGAGACTGGCCAAAACATAAGTCTGGTGACGATTTCTCGTGCTCTTTTGGCTATGCGTTGATTCGTTTTGACAATGTTGAGTTTTTCTTCCAGAAGCCGCCTGTGGGAGGACATGCCCGACCTAAGACGAGCGCTAGGGCGGCCGTGGCCCTCTAAATGAGGAGAATCCAATAATAGTACCAACATAGTCTGGTGAAGATTTCTCGTGCTCTGTTGATTTGTTATGACTATGATGTTGACTCTGCTTTGTTCTTCTAGAAGCCGCCTGTAGGAAGACATGCCTCGACCTCAGGCGAGCGCGAGGGCGGCCATGTCCCGTTACAGAGTGATTAGTCAAGAGTACTAAAGTCATAGTCTGGTGACGATTTCTCGTGCTCTTTTGATTTGTCTGTTTTGTTGACTTTGTTGAATTTTCTTTTACAAGCCGCCTGTAGGAGGATATACCCGACCGAACCGTAGACGCGCTAACGGCGATGCAGGTAATGACGATGTAGGCTTCGGTACTGTGGGAACGCGCGGCTCGCGCTTTCCGACAATTCGCTGCGTCGTTCTCGTTCGATACATCCGCGGATCGGAAACGTGGGAGAGTGTTGTAGTTGTGATTTCCTACAGTACGGATGTTCAACATCACGGTGAAGAAACATCGCCGTTAGCGTGGCCTTGGCCTAAGGCGAGCGCGAGGGCGGCCTGGGGGGATCTCTCGGCCAGCGGCGACGCGGCGGAGCTGCGCGCCGCGGCCGCGGCGCTGGGCAGCGGCCCTCGGCCGCCGGCACCCGGAGAGATCGTGTTCCTGGAGGGAGACCTCTTCGAGGCGGGCGTGGGCGAGGCAACCCACATCGCCACTCGATCGCAGACATGGATCCAGGGGGCGTGGATCAGCGACGGGTCCCGTTCCCATGGGAGATCGCGCGGATGCCCGCCGCCCAGCGAGGCGGCGCCGGCCGCGTTTTTGAGGGAGGGCACCTCCCCGGATCCAGGGATTTGGCGGCCGCGCGCCAACTCCATGGATCGCGAATCCATGTCTGCGCGCCCCCGACATCAGTAGATGGGACGTTCCAAGAAGGGCCTCGCATGCGAGGGTCGAAGGAGTTGTCGTGTCCTCCTCGGCGGAAGGCGGCGGAGGGGCGGCGGGAGGTCGGCGGAACTGGGCCGAGGCCGCCCGCGCCGGGGGGAGCCGGCGGAGGGGCGGCAGATCTGGACGCCCGAAATGGGTACCGAAAGAATGGGTACGATGCCCAACAGCAGTTCCTGTTCATTTTGAACAGGACTCGCTGTCCGCGCCGCCGCGGCCTGTGTTCATTTGAGACAGAAGGCCGCCTGCCCAACAGCGGCCGCTGTTGGTTCGGGACAACATTTGTTGTTGGGCATGTTGCCCATTCTTTCGGTACCCATTTCGGGTGTCCAAAGCAGAAGGCGGCGGAAGTAAAAGATGCGCCTCCGAGAGATGGAAACATTTTGGGTGGGGTGCAGGGTTTCTGAAATCGCCCAGATGGGCGCGGGAGTGGCTCCAAGCGAGTTGCAGAACTGCGGGGGGGAAGTTCGCTTCCGACTCTGAGGGCAAGAGTGCACGAGGCTGGTAGGTTCGGGTAGGCGGAGGACATCAGCCTACAGCATATCGGCTCAGCAGTCGGGGCGGCCGTAAGCCCAGGTGAGAGGTCCCAGTTATCTCGGGGCCGGAAAAAAGGCACACAATAATGACATGTGCGAGGCACACCAAAATTACATGCGCGTTTTGATTTGCATTGCCGTCACACATCGGGCGAGGCAATCCACATCATTCGATACATAAATTTAGAAGGCCCTGGGTTCGCTGGGGACTGGTTTCCCCCAAAACGACGAAGACCCTTCCAAAACCTCCCCGAATCCATTTGGAAAGCCTCTTGGAGCCCTTCCTGGCGGGTTCACGCAGGGTTTCGGGAGGGTGTCGGCTGTTCTGAAAGGAAGCCAGTCCCTAGCGAACTCTGCATTTTCGACAGGTAAATCACGGAAGTTCCAGCTCGTCTTGGACGGAATGTATATCGGCCAAAAGGCGTCCAACAGTGTTGAAGAGCGCCGAACAGCGCCCAATAGTGCCCAGTAGCGCCACATAGTGCTCAAAGAGCACCCAATGGCGACCAATAGAGACCAATGGCGCCAGGTGAGGGAGATGCATTATTTGTCTGCTTTGCGTGCGATTGGGCGCGCTATTGGGCGCCATGGGGACGACCAAAAGCTTCCGTGAGTTGCTCTCTGAACATCTACCTGGCCTCCTTGTGAGTGTTCGCGCGCAGACTATGGCAATCGCAGCGCCCCCCCCCGGCGTGCGCCACCCCGCCCAAGCGTTACCATTACCCGCCCACTCCGTCTGGGCAACGACCGTGAATGGAAACAAAAGAGGTGGACGTGAGCGAGGCAACCCACATCTACCTGGCCTCCCTGTGCTTCAGCGACGGGATGCTGTCGCGCGTGGCGGGGAAGCTGTCCGCCGAGGCCGCCCGCCTGCGCGCCGTCGCCTCGCTGCGGCGGTTCCCGGGTGGCCTGCCGGGCTTCGAGGGCAACGGCAGCGTGGAGGCCCGCATGAGCTGGAGCCAGCCTCGGGTCGGGCGAAAGGGGGGGATTGGGAAAGGGGGGGTTACGAAATTTGCTGCATGCAGCTGGTTTCGGCCCCACCGAGGGGCCCATTCCTCGATACATAGCCGCTTCCGGCGCCGGGAGGCGCCGGGAAAATCAGCTACGTGAGCTGATTCTCAAACCCCCCTTTTGCTATCCCCCCTTTTCGCCCGACCCGACAGCCCGGGCATGCTGGGCAGGCAGTCTATTCGGGTGATGCCAGACGTGTCTCTCGGCCCAAATGTTCTTAGCTGGGGTCGTGGGTCTGGCGCAGGCGGGTCGGCGGCGAGACGCGCAATCGTTCACCAATTGTGTACAACTGCGCGCAGCAGTACGCAGCAGTTGCGGGGGGAGGGGGCACGGACTGATGCACGGGCAGAAGTTGTTGTATGCGCAAGAACGATGCACAGCTTCCATGCGCAGCTACTGCATCCAGCGCGCAGGCTGTTGCATCCAGGCGCCAATTTTAGCAAGGTTCTATTGCACCTCTCCCCGCGGACTCATCTGAGCCAGACCCAGCACTCTGGCTTAAAACACCTTCGCCTCTGTGAGGGCCCTCCCGTGGCTTTACAGAGCACCCCCCCTCAAGGCCCAGAGGGCCTGGGAGACTCCAAGATGGAGCGCGAAGTTTGGGACACCTTGGGCCGAAGACACCCCTGGCAACCACCGCTCCATTTGTACCGACGCCGAGTGCCGGCAAGTCTGGAGCTGGAAAACAGAGAGTGGACGGGGCCATGCTGTTCGCTCGCCCGATGGTGGTGGCTCGGAGGGTTCGTGAGGAGGCGGGGGAGTGAGAGGAGGAGCAGCAGCTGGGGGCGGGCAAGACGAGGACCTGGATGACGAGCAGGATTTTGGCCCAAGGCATGTAGTAGTGATGGACCACTCTTGCTCTTGAGTGGGATGGCGCTGCGTACGTGGGAGCGGTGGCTGAGCTGGAGGCCGCTGCTGGCGAAGGTCGCGACGGCGAGTTCGCGGGGGGCGGCCGGGGACGGAGTCACGCAGGCCTAGTTGGGCAGTGCAAGGACCTGCCCTTGTCCCGGTGGCCTTCTGCGGCGCGCACCCAGGGAGCTGTCTGCAGCTGGTGCTACCGGGCGGGCGCGCTGTACGACGGGCTGCTGCCGCTGGCGCTTCGCGCGACGCCGGTTCGGGGGGGCTGCTCCAAGGCGCTGCTGGACCAGTTCGTGCACGCGCCATTCTTTTCTACATCCTAAGAGCTTTCACGTGGCGGCCGGGCTCGGCCAGAGTCAAACCACCGCGAAACTGCTGGGCGGTCTGTCTCCCAGGCATGCTGTTGATACACGGCCTCTTGCCAGCACGCCTCGGCACCGCCGCGATGAACGCCAGCTGCCTGCTCTGGAACCTCTTGCCGAGCTGCAATCTCGGGACGCCGCGGCGGGCGCGGCGTGAGGCGCGGGCCTGCGCGCGGCGCCGAGGCGCACAGAAGACGCAAAGGTTTGCAGACAGGCGGAGGAAGAGGAAGAAGGAGGAGGGAAACCTTCGGGCATGGTCGCCCGGCGGGGAGCGCGTCGCTGCCAATCGCCCAGGAGAGGCAGCACCGCGGGGCGGAGCTGCTGGCTGGAAGGAGCCTTCCGGGTGTGCCTCGCGCTGCCGCGCCCGGCGGCGGCGCTCTCCGCCCCTCGCTGCGCGCCAGCGCGCGGCCTGGAGCCGCACCGCGCGTGGGCGCTGCTCGGCGCTGGGCGGCGTGGAAGAGGGCGCGGCCCCGGAGAGGCCGGAGCCTGGCATCGCTCGGACTTGTGCCTTTTTTTCTCGGCGAGAGCCATCGAGGACCATCCTGGACCATCGAGCCACAAACAGCACGCGCGAAGCCGAACAATGCACGGGGAATGGACGTCCGAGCGACGGCAAGGGAGGGCTTCCGTGTGCTCGGGGCGGAGGCAGGAGGTATGTCCAAGACTCAGGAGGGACAAAAAACACAGAGACACAAGTAATCGTCGATACCCAGGAAAATATGGGGAGTGGGGGGGGAGACGAAAATCCCCAAACTATGGAAACATATGGGGGATCTTTTTATTTGTGTGTGTGTATCTATTTGTGTGTCCCAGGGCCCCTTTGAAGGCATGAGCCTGGCATCGCTCGGACTTGTGCATTTTCTCTCGGCGAGAGCCATCGAGGACCATCCTGGACCATCGAGCCACAAAAGCACGCACGAAACCGAAAAATTCACGGGAAATGGACGTCCGAGCGACGGCAAGGGAGGGCTTCCGTGTGCTCGGGGCGCAGGCAGGAGGTATGTCCACGACATGAGCGCAGTTGGTGTGCAGCTCGATCGGCACGGGACCGGGAAGCGCGTGTCATATGATGGCCGTTCCATGGCTTGGCGCTGGGGGCGCTGCAGAAGTTGCGGCCCCAGAGAGGGCGGAGACTCGGGGACTAAACAATTATATGAACATAAGAACTCGGAGGTCCGCGCGGATTCCTCGGATCGGCGCTAGACACCCCGCCTGGCGCGCGGAGCGCGCCAGGGGCGGCGCTGGAGGCGCCGCCAGGGGGCCTCAGCACCCATCCGAGGAATCCGCGCGGACCTCTTGAGTGTTTTTATTTTTGTGTCATCGTTTCGTCCCAGGGAGTCCCTCGCGGCCTCCGCCGCCGTCGCATCCCAGGAGGCGACCGTGCGACAGGTCCCACGAGCACCCTCGCTGGCAGCAGTCTGGGAAGCCGCGCCCCTGCGACGGGGAGCCACGCCCCGCCGCGTCACAGCGGCACGGCACCGGCAACGGGGCCAGGAGCCACGAGCAGGCAGCCCAGCCTCGGCCCTGCTCGAAGAGGAAAAAGCGGCGTAAGCATAAACTGCTGGTGCTGCACGCGGGTTTCTTGGATCCGCACATGGCCCGCGGCTGCCCGCGCCCGCGTCGCTCGCGGTCCCGTTGCAGCCTCCGTCCGACGCGTGACGCGACTTCGGCATGCTCGCAACCTGCGGGCCCACCCGTTCCCAGCCACCGCCCCGTGCACCCGCCCGGAGGGGGCCGTTGGTGGGGACGAGCTCAGATCATACGCTGGTCCTTTTCTCCTCCTCCTCCTTCTCCATCTCCTCCTCCTCCTCCTCCTCCTCCTCCTCCTCCTTCTCCTCCTCCTCCTCCTCCTCCCTCCTCCTCCCTCCTCCTCCTCGTCCGCCTCCTCCTCCTCCGCCTCCTCCTGTGCGCTCCGCGCGGGGCATCCGCGAAGAGACGCTCCGTCGCCACGAGGTCGCGGCCCAGGGCCCAGCCCGCGAGGACGTGGATACGAATACGCATTCCGCCCACGACCGCAAGGGAGGAACAACAACTACAGTGGAGACCCATGCCAAGAAACACCCCGCTTGCCTCCAGGGTGCGCTGGGATTCTTGGGTTTCGATGGTTTCGCTATGGAAAGCGTGACTCTCGCACACCAAAAATCAATGGACGTCCTGGGGTCTCAGGGTTGGGTTTCCCGTGGAAGGGTTCCTGTGGACTCGCCTCCACTGTGACCACCCCGACCCTCATCGCTGGAGTCGACCTGCGCAGTCTGGGCTTCTGCTGAACGGCCCCGCCCTGCCTGATCCCTTCCCGGGTGACGTTTGCCAAAATGTCACGGGGGGAGCCATCAAAAGCACCTCGACCCCCATCGCTGGGGTGGACCTGAACAGTCCGGGGCTTTTTTGCCGAGAACAGCCCCGCCCTGCCGGATGCCGTCCCGGGTGGCGCTTGCTGAAATGCTTCGCCAGTGCCAGGAAGCCCGATAATGGAGGATGACGATTAATAAATGACCGGGGGTCGTGTTCACGCGGCGGCGCCCGGGATGACGATTAGAAAAAACCGGCCGCGGACTGGAATTTTTTTTTTGAATCGTTCTCCTCCAGCCAGAAAGTTGCAGAAATAGCAGAAAACTATTTTTTTAATCGTTCTCTCCCATTTGTTTATCAATCGTCATCCCGCATTACGCATGACGCGGATCGCCGGGGCGAGAGACGGTCACACGCGCAGCGGTCGGCCCTCCTGCGGCCCTGCAGAGGCCGGGCTTCGCACGTGCGTTCGGCGCGTGGTTTTTTCGGACGCCCGTGCGCGCGCGGATATGCAGCCGCGCGAGTTTCTCCAGCGTCCCGGCACCGCGGTGAGGGCTGCTGCCAGCTCTCCGGAGGTGGATGGAGAACACACGAAGCGACGGAGTGAGGAGGAGGAGGAGGAGGAGGAGGAGGAGGTCCTCCTCCTCCTCCTCCTCCTCCTCCTTCCCCCCTCCAACTTATGGTGGTGGTGGTGGTGGAAAACAGGCCTATCAGGACGGGGCCAGGACGAAGATGAATCCGTCCCAGGACGAAGATGAATCCGTCCCTCCTCAGGAGGACCAGTGCAAACCCAAGACTCACCAATGATGGTGCAATGAACCCTCCGTCCAAGCTCCCTCGTCGTAGGCCCCAGACGAAGATTGGTTTTGATTGCAGCACGTGCCCCGTTGGAAAACTGACGCTTGAAAATCCGGAGCTGTGCCGAAACACCATTCTTGGGACTTGGACGCCGCGAGTCACCGCAACTGCTGCGTTTTGGCAATCTCGATTCTTGCCAAAACATTGTCGCTGGGACTTCAACACCACGAACCAACGTAAGTATTGGGCTCCAGCAGTCCGACATCGTGCCAAAACAGAATATTTGAAACGTTAACCATGGAAACCCGTGCAACGGTCGTAAACTCTTAAAAGGTAGGCGCGTGGCGTTGAGGCGAGAGCCACATTTTGAAAGCAACCTCTCCTCAATCCGTGAAGCCCTTGCATATGCTTATGACGAGTGTGCGCGGCGAACGAGAGCCACAGTTTGAAAACGACCTGTCCTCAATCCGTGAACCTCGTGCAAATGGTTATGACGAGTGTGTGCGGCGCTGAGGCGAGAGCCACATGTTGAAGACGACCCGCCTACAATCCGTAAAACCCTTGCAAGTCTTTGCGACGCATGTGCGCGGCGTTGAGGCGAGAACCGCATTGTGAAAGCGACCCGCTTTCAATCGGTGAAGCTCATGCAAACCTTTATGACGAATGTGCGCGGCGCTGGGGCAAGAGCTACATTTTGAAAGCGACCCACCCTCCATCCGTGAAACCGTTGAAAATCCGAAGCTTCGGATCATCGGTGTTGGGGCCGTCTGAGGCGAAACGCGCGGCCTGCCCTTCCGACTGGTCTCGGGGTGGGACAGGGAGGAGATGTTCATTAGGAAAGGGATTTCAGGAGGAGGCGGAGGAGGAGGAGGAGGAGGACTGCGGCAGGGGGTGCTTCGAGCTCCCGTGCTGGTGCGGGCGAGATACAGAATGCGGCGAAGGGGCGGGGAGGAGGAGGAGGAGGAGGAGGAGGAGGAGAATGAGGAGGAGGAGGAGGAGGAGGAGGAGGAGAAGGAGGAGGAGAAGAGGGGGAGGAGGGCGAGGGTCGCTGTCTTCGTCACTCTGCTCGCCGCAGGGCCGGATGCGCTGCCAGAGGAAAGTGCCTGCCCTCCTCGTCGTCCCACTTCTCACCCTCATCCTCGTCATCGTCATCATCACCACCATCATAACCTCCATGGTCGTTAACATCTCATCGTCAACATCATCAGCAGCAGCATCATCACAAGCAAACTCATTGTCATCCTCATCCTCATCGTCATCGTCATGCTCGTCATCAGCATCACCATCATCAGCATCATCATCGTCATCATCATCAGCACCGTCATCATCATCATCATCATCATCATCATCATCATCATCATCATCATCATCATC